ATATCCTACCCTCCCTCCCACCCTCTGCCAAGACAATATCCAAGTTGCGTCTTTGTCTTGTTTCCAGATTGGCTCGTTCCAGCTGTTTGTCAACAGCTACAAGGATGCCGACTACTGGCTACGTCGATTTGACAACGAGGCTCTTCCTGAGTCCACAGCCAAACACTTCCAGCACTTGTTCGAGAGAGTGGTCGTCCTGGATTACATCATCCGGAACACAGGTATTACTACCTTCTACTCATTTTAACAAGACATACTCAGGTATGATGTACATGCACAGTATTTATACCTCTGATGCACACTTCACCTATATGCACACACTTTACTCAGCACCTTGTACAAACACATGTGAAACACAACATACATATATGACATATATACAGCGTGTGTTCATGGCATGCGCACAACATACACACTCCTGATACTTTTCTGTGAAGCATGTCAAACATGGCAATGTAACCCCCTGCAACACACATCATGAGGGTTATGGGTACCCAAACTGTATACACACTTCACTTCTGTCTTTGGTCACTTTTTGGAGCATAGATAGGCCACCAAAGATCTCTCTCCAATCATCATGATCCAGGGCCAGTCTGTCCAAATGTCTCTTGATATGTCCTTTCTTCCTGCCTGTGCATTCACATCACAGGGTCAGATGTCCTTTGGCTTTCTTCTTTTCTTTTTCCCCTACTGTGGTTTCCAGGTTAACCTTTTAGCATCACAATGTTTATCACACCACTTTGAGACGCACCTCTTCTCTTTAGCGCGCGCTAGTTCATAACCTTTCAGATCGCCCCGCGTGACCCTGGCATTAGGTAGTTCTGCATGCAACAAAGAGCTTGTTTTTAAGATTTCACTTTCAAACTTTTGAAAAGTATTCAGAACCATTTTGGAATTGTTTCTTGCTGTCAGAAGTTGAGTTGTTTGAACACTCAGACCAGTGTTGAGAAGACTCACTCTCAAAGGAGTCATAGATTCTACATACATAGAAGATTGGATGATGAAGATGACGTTGAAACAAAAGAAGATCATAACGATTGGGATGAGTTTACTATGCTGGTTTACGATAAAGCATAACCATTTGATTTTGCTAAAGAAACGACCTGTAGAGAATCAAGCATATGTGAGATTAGAATGCGTAGACAGTGAGGATGAGAGGATGGACAATGGGACTGACAGGGTTGTTGAAAATACGAATATGGAGACGATGTAGCTGTAGAGCTATAAGGGAGAGTATCGCAAAGCAAAAAAATAATGAAGAAGAATAAGTATAGGGAATATTAGAAGATAACATGCTGTGGGCTCGAAACACAAACTACTTTCCCCTGCATTTTTCAGTTTACTGGTGTTCAGTGGAATCAAAGTCCCACGACCCAAACAACTGTTTGCGTTAGATGTTTACTGACTGCTCATTACAGAGGAGTTGGAGACTCTTATGAAACCGAAACAAAAATGATAAGAAGTAAAAGGGACTATGACAAAGTTAGTTAAATTATACCTATCATGGATCACACCTGTCTGAACAGGCGTCAAGATTATTGAAGGAACACCATTGAACTGTTTAGTGTGTGTATTGGGGTTTAAAATTTGTTTTGTGATCCTAAAAATTATGTCTTGTGTTGACATAAATTTGAACTTTACTTCGACCCCAAATACAAACATCTTTGATTTAAAAGTGTGGAGATTCATTTCTTTGAAAATGCCCTAAAATTGCATGTATCCAGGGAATAGGGCACGTAAAATAATGGCGTTCTTAGGGAATGCGCACCATGAAAGCCGCATGTTGCAAAAGGGTTAAGGCTTGCCTTGTGGTATTAGTTTCAGGCTTGTGTAGAGTATGGCCGATCCATCTACACTACATAGTCTCAGAAGGATTTCACCCTGTTCAGGCTGTTGTCGAATTGAAAGCAACAGTTCCTGATTGTGGATTATTTCTGGCCGGCTAACTGGAAGAATTCTTCTGAAGCATATGTTGACGAACATTGTAATCCTTTTTATGAGGGTTATGAGCTCCCAGACGGGTGGGGAGATAAAAAGTAGATGCCAGTGAGAGTAAGGTTTCAGCTGTTTCTGTTTTTTATTTCTGTTATGTTTGCAGGCTTTGAATATATTTATGTCTTCTTGTGACTAGATGTGTTTCTTTTCCTCTTTAATGATAAGTCTTTTCTCCTACTGGTTTCAGACCGCGGCAATGACAACTGGTTGATACGCTATGAACCTGCTCGGGCCAACATTGCAGACTCCAGCCGGGAGGAGGCTGAGGTAATGTCTCTGTGGTAACTGTTGGAGGGTGTCAGAGGTCAGGGTAAAATCTGTAGGGCAGTTTCAGAGATAGTGGTAGGCCTAATGTCCTTATTGGACATTGTCAGAAGTAAATGTAATGCTGCTTTACGACATTGGTGAAAAATTGAAGTAAGTTTTCTTTAGGACATTGATGGACGTTAAACTCCTTCATTGTTTGATATTGGGGTTGTTTTCATTAGGATATTGAAGGGCATTGAGTTGAGATATTATTTCATGCTATAGGAGGACATTGTTGAGGTTGGGATATTAGCACTCCAAGGCATAGAAAGACATTGTCAGAGCTTAAGGTTTCTTTTCCACTGTTGTTTCTATCTCTCTCTACTTTATCCATGCGCTAAATAACTATTATTGTGTCAATGTGCTTCTCTGTACCGAAACATAAACATATTTTGTTTATCATGATGGACTGGGGTACAAAGCAAATGAGATTTGAATCCGCCATGATGCTTCCTTGAAGTGTGTTTGGGGTTTTTATTTTGTTCCTCTCTCTGGGTGTTCTCCCATTGAATATGGCTATAAAAGGGAAGGTTCTACCTCAAACGTAAGCTGACTGTTGAAAAGGTGTTGGTGCTTTCCTCATCTCTGGGTTGTTGTTTTTTCCTGTAGAGTGTGAAACAGCCTTCAGAATTTTATTTAAAGGAAATTTTGTTTTCTAACTCCAGCTAAGCTGCTGTCTTTCATTTTTGTTTTTCACGAAAAAATAATTCCTATTGTTATCATATTATTTTTATTTCTGTTGTTTTTTATTTCTTTAAAAATAATATTTTATTTGTATTTATTTGTTTCCATCTTACGTGCTCTGTTGTTGCCTCCCCAGGACTCGGAGTGGAGTATGGTGAGCAACCCGGAGATCTCTGTAGCTGCCATTGACAATGGGCTGGCCTTCCCCTTCAAACATCCTGACGAGTGGAGGGCCTGTAAGTCTCCCAAGTCTGTGTGTGTGTAGTGGGAGGGGAGGGGGGGGGCATGTTTGATGAGAATGATGTTAGAGGTGGAGACTGTGTTAATGACATATTCGTACTCATCATTATTTATGTTTGGCAAAATGAAATAAATGGAATTATAAGTCCTCTTTGAACCACAGAGGTGTCTCTAAAATGTCAAATAGCAAAATGAAAAATAAAAACAAAACGCAAAGTAATATTCATAAGTTTACGATGATATGTTATCAAATCATGATTTTGAAAGAGAAATGTACATTCTCTCCATCATGAACTCGTTCTTAAAGGCAGGGCTGACCTAAGGACGTATTGTGTACATGTTTAGTGTGTGTATAGATGATGGATTTTAGTGATTAATCTCCAGACTTTTAGAAGTCTTTTCTGTCTTTGTCTATTGTCTTGACCTCAATGGTACAGTACATCACTTTTTTTTGTTGGGATGAGATCATCTGAACATCAAATTGACAAAATTGACTAGAGAGCTAAAGCTGTAGGGTGTGCAGGGTCCCCACCAAATCCTGGAAAAATTTTTCAAGACCCCAATTTGAGGGAAAAATAGGCCGCTGTGCGTCCAGAATGATCCCCCAAAACACCTATTTATCAATGATTAAAAGTCAAAATATCTTTAAATGAATGCATATTTACATTTTGTAGTACAGTGGAACTCGGATTCAAAGAGGTCGTTGGGCCTGACCTAAAATCTCGTTGAATCTGAGTGTTCGTTACAGCAAACACGAGGTTTAGTGTAGATAATTACAGGCACCGAGCAAGTAATGCAGAAAGAGAAGTCACAAGTAGTGAAATGCCTGCATATTATGAGCTGTGTAAAAAAAATGACAGATTCGTTCAAATACACAAGCCTGTGTCATCTCGATTGTTTACCAAGAAAAAGTTGTGTTGCTGTGTAGAGCCTAGCATACGGCAACTTTTGATTCCATAGACCAGCGCACAATTCATAACGTAGATCTACGTCAAGACTAGCTTATTATTGTAATAATGATCAGTTGCTGGGGGGAAAAAGACTGACGCGTTTGTATCTGCGACGTTCAACACCCGGACCGCTGGTGCTCCCCCCACCCCCTCCCCGACACGCACACACAGCCACACGTGTGCAGGCCGCCCATCCGACCCCGACACACGCCAGAGTAGACACGTACGCGTGCCAACAACACACGTGTTGGTATTTTAAAAGGCCGCTGATTGGTCGCATGCAATCGGCTACGTGAATAATGGTTCATGATGCAGGTGCAATGGGTGGTTTCTGGGAATAGATAAAGTTTGTGAAAAATTAGCGAAACCACATCTGTGGGGGCTGTTCACCCTGGAAGGGACCTCGTTGAATCCGAGCTCGCTGATTTAAGTGCTCGTTGAATCCGGGTTACTTTTATTGATTTTAAAGAAGGAAAAAAATGGGGAATCTATCTCATCTCGTTGAATCCGAGTTCTCGTTAAATCCGAGTTCCACTGTATATTCTTCAGACAATAGATGATTATAATACTGGGTGACTGCCAACCCAGCTTCTCAATTTTCCGGGGGGGGGGGGGGGGGCTCATCCATTTTCCAGGGGCATGTTACAACATAACAATGACACAATGACAGTGCCTCTGCCCCATTTATATCTATGAATATACACACACACATCCAGTCAACAACATGTCAGTGTGGCACTGGGATCTTGTGTGACTTATGTATTTCGATCTGTTCTTACTTATATTTATATTTTCCCCTCATCAGATTAGCCTACATAAACTATATAAAAATGAATCCTAATTTGAGCCTGAGAAAAGATCTAGAACCAGAATATCGACTGTCAATAACCAGTCTAGGGTGTCATGATTCATATAATAAACGTGAAGATGAAAACAATCGCTCAAACTCATAGTAGAGTAATAACTTGAATTAATGGCTCAAGTAGAACTATTCAGTGTAACAGGTGTAAGAATTGAGGGAAGGCAAGATGCTTTGACACTTGAAATCTGGCAATCTTGAACAGAAAGCTAAAATATAGATATAAATTACTATCACCCCATCCAATGAAACGCGAACACTTGAGTTCAATAACAAGGCATGACGGATCCCGATTCCACACAAGGCCTGCACCAACGCGCGCTTTGCAGAGAGCTCTTATAGTAAACTTAGTTATCAAAATTCTAAATACTAAAAATTTGCTTCTAAGTTCAGTTTCTGTCCTGTAGCGTTGCCTTATTCTCATTGTGTGTCGTGATCTCCATGTAGGCCTACTGTCCTACGTCCTGTTGTCTGGATTTATATTTTTTCTCCTGTTTCTCCCCACAGATCCATACCACTGGGCCTGGTTACCACAGGCTAAGGTTCCATTCTCATCAGAAATACAAGAGCTGCTAATCCCTTCCCTCAACGATATGAACTTTGTGCAGGACCTCTGTGATGACCTCTATGACTTGTTCAAGGTACAGTACACACTGACAAACACACACAGATACACCCACAAACAAAAATGCATGTGTGTATAGACTCCAGAGTGACTGCTGGCCTTGGAAAAATCTATGAGACTTACTCACAGTGACCTGAGAAAACACAGGAAATGAAGAGTGACTGACAAGAATTTTTCTTTTGCTCTTTTTCCGCCATGCTTTGGAAATAGCTTAGTGCAAAAGTTCTTAACTTCCACTTGTAGTTAATTGTACTTTTCAGACATGATCCTGTTAAGTATCATGTTTTGTTACTCACTCATCATATTGTATTGTTTTATTCAACTAGAACTATGATTTAGTTCTGGAATCGTCAGTGGTATAAAGCTTGCTCGTATGATGGATCAATAGTGTTTAGTCTCAAACAAAAAATTGGAGGTGGATGGTTGGCGGGTGCTCTGGTGTGGTTTGCTCCTTCTTTCTTATCAAACATCTATCGTCTTTATCTCCCTTCCTCCTTTTTTTGTGTTTGTTACTCCCTTGAAACACCTCTAATCTTCGGCCCTTACATGACCTTATTGTGTTGCAAGTGCCGTAAAACTTATGAAATAAAAAAGAATTGGAGTTGTCTTGAGAGGAGTGCTTAAGGTTAGCTTTGAACCTTGTGTCTTCCTTCTTCCTTTTGTTTCCATGGTTTTTTGTTTTGTTTTGGTTGTTTTTTTAAAATTTCATTTTTATTGTGGGAAACCCAATGAACCAGTGTATTACAGATTAGAAGGACCTTTTTTTTGCACACATATGCATAGACTTTCCTTGGCTTTTGTGCTAACGAATAAGTGCTTAGTGGTGAGCAACAAAGACCCTGCCATCATTCATTTAGTTTAGACTGTTAGGTCTTGGTCTAGAATCAAAATGTAATTATTGATTTTGCTATCTGCTTTGGATTGTAGATTTAGAATTAGTTGTAGGCCTACTAAAGATCTGCTCAGGTACACAATGCAAACCTTGATTGCTTTGAGATTTTCATTACAGTTTTAATTTATTGACTAATGTTTATAATGGTTCAACCGCTACATAAATAGCTGTGCCTTAGAGAACTTGTTCATTTTTGAATGAGTGGCTCTTGGAGAGCAGGGTCCGACAAGATAAAATGACTCATAAAGCAAACTAGACAAGATTAAGCTGCTTCAAAAACAAATGGAGGAGGTGGAGGGTAGTCTCAAAGGGAAGGAGGATCACTCCTCTAGAGCTTGTTGACCCCAGTTCTGTATTTATTGTAGATAACAAAATAATGTAGGTCAAATGATTTTGGAAAATATTTCATGTGCGATGGTGATTGGATGAATGTTGTGCTTTGCATCTCATGCCAGTGGTAATTTATTCCACTTCTCTAGCGTTCACCCTGAGATGACTTCTTCATAGATAATCTCACCCACATACTCGTACTTATTTAAATCCATTGTATGCGTACTTTCTCTCTCTCAGGCATACACTTACTCATATACACAGACATGCACATCCAAAGACAAATCACAAACATATGCAGTGTGTATGCAAATACACACACACACTCTCACACTCCCTTGTTCTTCCTGTCTGTCCTTCTGTCTGTCTGTTTCTATCTCTCTCTCTCACATACACATTCTCTCTTTCTCTCGCTTGCTCGTAAACACATTTATTTGGAATTTTCCAGACTTCTTAATTTTTGTCTGCAACACGGGGAGTTCAGGGCATCTAGCTAGGTCAATCCCCACCCTATGCTTGTATATCTTTCTTTGCCTTTGTTTCTTTTACAAACTGTCTTTTGTGCTGTCTCCATCTGTCTGTATTCCACCATTCTTTATCGCATTTCACCTTGTGAGAGTTGGTGGTTGGCGGGTGCTCTGGTGTGGTTTGCTCCTTCTTTCCTCTTAAACATCCATTGTCCTACCTCTAATCTTCGGCACTTATATGACCATATTGTGTTGCAAGTGCCGTAAAACTCTATACTAAACTAAACACCTTGTGAGTTGTTGATAGGTGCTCTGATCTCTCTGTCTGGTGGAAGAGTCCCCACCCCCTAGAGGACATGTGCCAGTTTGTATGCTGCCTAGCCTCCATCACCGACGTTTTTCTCTCCTCAGAATGACAAAGGCTTCGACCGACACACCTATGAGAAACAGATGTCTGTGATGCGAGGCCAGGTGAGTTGTCCCTGTAAACTTCTACTTAGCTTTATGAATTGTTTCTCTGTATTGTAGACATCCAGCGGGTTACAGTAGAAACCTGATATAACAGGGATCCTGCAACCATAGAAAAATTCCTGTTGAATTAGAATCTCAGAAATATGTATGGGGCAAGGACAAACCCAGCATTTTTATTTGTGGGCTCGTTGTTATTGTTATTCACAGGCCTGGACAGACTGTGCTCTGCCCACGGGGATAGTTCTATTGTTAGGCTTTTTCATGCGACTCTTTGAGGACGCAGCGGATACATACGTCCAATAAGCAGCACAGCAAAGGCAACACTTTAACACATTTCAAACTAGCATACACACTGACAAACAAGAGTTTTGCATATTCAATAGCACGCATGATATTGCTCGCTTTTTAAAGTTTCTGATACATAAAGAAAGCAAAATCAAAACATCTGTGTAATGAAGTTTTGCCCCAGAATAGCATCTGTATGCGTTGTTTACTGACCACAATGTGCGTTCTCTAGGAGGTTAACTGACTCTTTGTGCAGTCCTGGGTTACTAGCCAACCTCCTCCCACTCTCCTTCTGTTCACTATTTATCCCATTTGCGAAACAGACCTTTAATATAGGCCATATGTTGGCTGTAGAAGATAAAAAAACCGTGAGCACTTAATTTATTTATTTTTAACCGGCACTGTATTTAAAGGGGTCTTTGTATCCCTGTAATAACCGATTAGGCCCTGACGAGTCCCTGTTATTGCCAATAAAATTTACTTGAGGTAAAACTGGTAAGAGAACACCCCCCCCCCCCCCCCCCCCCCCCCCCCCCCCCGAGGATTAAAATCCCGTTATTACCGATCCCTGTTATTACCGGTCCTGTTATAAATGGTTTCTACTGTATATTTCTTGGAATGTTTCTCTATAGAGTACTGTAATCTTCCTCCAGTCTATTATCTGGAATTTATTTGTTCTTGCTCTCAAAAAAAGTTTTTGTGCTGCAATCCATTTCTTTATGCTGTAGATTACATTTGCACATATGTTTTAGTGTTCGTTTGCCTATACTATGAACGTATACTTATGTTCAGTAATTCGGCGAGTACTGGGACGCCACAAAACAGTATGCCCTCTTTGCTGATGTGTCTCTATGCATTTGAAACACATTACTGCCGTACGATGACAAACGCCTTTTTCTTTTTCACCGCAGTTTTGAGATAAGTGGCATTTTGTCAACGTAACCATTTGAAAATGGCGTTCGTCCAAAATTTTAATTTTAATTTATTCAAAAACTATTCACAAGTTCACTGATTTTTTCACACAAGTAGAGTAACTGATCAGGCTATTAATTTAGCAAATACAAAAATATGGTGCCTGAAAAATCTGAAAGGCCCCGGGCACAAAAATACTGTCTCTGATGATAGGTTATCGTAAGAGTGATATGTGAATGTAATGATCCATTCGTTGGTCAATTTGTATGTTCTTACATTAGAGCAGAGTTCATTTTGGGAGAGAAAAAAACATTGAGATGCATCAGCGAGTCTTTGCTATGTTTACTGTAGTTTGCTTCTCTGTACAGTGCTGTAAACTTTCACCGGTCCATGTTTTGTCATTTCGTTTCTCTCTGTCTGTCCAGATTCTCAACCTGCACCAGGCCTTGAAGGACGGCAAGTCTCCGGTCCAGCTGGTCCAGATGCCTGTGGTGACGGTGGAGAGGAACAAGTCTGTGGTGGGCCGCACCCGAGCAGACAGCGAGATCTTCACGCAGAGCTTCTCTCACCGGGCCCCGTTCTTCTCTTGGTGCTGAGATGTGCATGTGTGACACATGTGTACAGTGGTGTGCACCTGATGTGTACGTGTCGATGTGTGTGTGATGCGCATTATAATGTGTGCATGGCTCCTGTATTGGTATGTGCATAACAGGTGTATATTGGTGCAACTGCTGCATTGAGGCCATGTCCATGCTGGTCAGTGCTTGACCCATGACTTGCATGATGTAGAAGTTGTGCTCTGGGTCCTGTCAGATATGTATGTAGTCTGGCATGCACATTGCGAAATTGGGGGGTCATGGAAATCTGTTCATTATGTACAAATTTTGCTGTTGACATATTTTAATATAAAGGAAATAAATGTTTAAGACAAAATTTGAAACTTGAAAATTTGTTCACAATGTACTTGTTTCGCAATGTGCATGCTAGACTGTACCTTAATGGCATGCTGTCCGACACGGTTTTATCAGTGCGTTTCGGTCTCCAGCACTTATGTTGCCTTTCCCTCTTTTTTTTTTTTTTCCTTTTCGCTGGATGATCGACAGCTACCTATCTAACGAGGGTGATTCCAAGATTCGGTATTGCCCACATGTGCAATAATTTGGTATTAAGAAAGCTCCTACCTGGAGCATATTTGGGAGGTTTTCTTTTAGCTGTCTGCTCCTCTGTCATGGAGTGTGGGATTATTTCCTTAACTAGAATGGCATCTATTAGGGAATTATTAATTAGCTCACTATAATAGCATGGATAACTTTGTCTCCTGAAATTCATTTGTTCGGGAATAATTTTTTAAGATACACTTTTGTTTTATGTAGAATAAGCAGCTAATTTGTTCTCCTCACTGGAGTCTGGGAATAACTTGTTCTCTACAAGAAGACCAGAGTTGTTTTTTTACCGTGGTGGATTCTCGGAATAATGTTAACGCCAAAATGAGAGTCTTGGAATAACTTGTTCTTCGTTTAACTATTAACGTCTGTCTTGGGAATAATTTGCCTACAACTGCTAGGTTTGTTGGGGGAAAATCCCTCCTCCATTGTCAGCATCTGTTTTGGAATATTTGGTTTTTGTTTTACATTGCATGACTTAGAAAATGTTTGCTCAGACTGGGTTTGGGGAAAACTGTTCACCACAATCGAATCTGGAAATCATTTGCTGTCTTGAATCTAAAAAAATAAATAATTTGTTGACACTAAAAGGATCTGGTAATAATCTGTTCGCCGTTATGGAATTTGGGGATGATCTTGGTAAAAATGCGAGTTGCAATGAAGATGACAGTGACAGTAGTGTATGCATCAGCAAGGATGGTTTTGCTTATGGTTATGATGGGTGCTTTTGTGGTGATGATGGGAACATGATTTACTGATTGTACAATGATAGGTACATGTACGTTTGATTGACAATTGAAGTATGTGTAAAATGATTGAGGATTGATGTGCTAGTTGGCTAATCCATGATACACCAACACATGATCTGTTTGGATGATGTGTGTAAGTGTGTGTGTTTGTCTGTGTGCTATTGTAAAAAACATGAGAGTGTACTGCAAAGTTTGACCTTTTTTTTTCTCATCTAATTTATGGAAAGATTTTATCTTAACATTTATTTATTTTGTCATGGCGGGTCTCGGCAGGGAGACATCTCATTGCTTGTGCCTGGCTCACTGTGTGTGCCACTTTTAGCCGACTTGCCATACCAGACATGATGTATACACCACAGTCGATGATGTGTGCTCATCAGTTGATGATGCCGCACTCAGGTGTGGACAGAATGTGTACACAAGAGCTGCTGATGTCACATACATGTGTGTACATTTGTGTGCCACCAGCAGCTGTTTGGAGCTGGTGGAGAAAACTTGTTTCTATATATGTATTTATGCCTTGAGATTGGAAAGGTGGCTGTAGTGGGACACTGCTTGACGTTGCACCCAGTTCAGTATGTCATTGGTCTACGACGCGTTGCCATGGCGACTGTCTGTCAAGTATTGATCTATCCTGTGTTGCCAGATTGCATTTCTATTTCTCCTAATCCTGTGGATCAGATTTCCTATTCCTACATTTTCACTTTGTGCTCCAGACTTTTTTGTACATTTTGAGCATAATCATGAAGGTTTACTGGGACATATTTTTTTGTCTTGAGAAATTCTCAGAAATGTGTTCAGATGTGTGTCTTGTCAGTGTGTTTGTTTTTCCTGGCAGTCTGCGTGAACTGCGACAGTGCCTCTCCCAGGATCTCTGCATTCCTGCTAGCGACTTGTGACACAAAAATCTTGTGTGTGGTCAGGTTAAGATTTATGTCTGTGCGAGTAATTAGGGCTTGTGTATGTGATCATGGAGTGTTGTTATCCATGCGTTTGTCTTGTCCACTGACTCCAATGCCTTTCCCCGAGTTCTTCGTAAATCAGTGCCAACTTGTTTGAACTTTGACCCTGACCTTTAACATGACTGCTCCATGAAGTTCTTGTACTTTTGCTCGGGGGAGGCTCAGTGTGTTTCTGTGATAGCGCTTTTGTTTGTTTATGATGCTCATCATTGTGTAAAGCGCTCATGTTCGTATTTCGCGCTATCGATTGTTTCTCTCATTCCAGATATGTGTGGGGGATCACTGCACAATAAACTCATTCAAAACTCAACTATGCCTGTGTATGATTTGTTTTTTTGGCCTGGACTGGGTACTCTTGTCATTAGACAGTTGATTCTGTGATTCAGAAAACAATTTTGCCCTGAGCTGGATTTCCTGACCAAGTGAGGATTGCCACATATGCATGTAACACATTACCGATCTAGATGAGCAATGGAATAGTTAGGACTCCTCAAAGATGTCAGTTCTATCCCCTTATTATTTCTCATCTTTCTGCCAAAGGTATCCTCTTCACAACTTGACAGTCAGGTCAGGAGGGCAGCAGCAGACTTTCTTAAATGGCCCCCTTTATTTTCACCCAGGGTGAGAATAACCCATGTCTCGCTACTCTCACACCACCCCCGCCCCCTGGTGAGAATAGTTTCCACCCCGGTGTAGGCGTGAGGCGAGGACTCCCCGACCTCTCGCAGGCTGATAAAATCACCTAGGCCCTTGGTGGCTTACCGCATGTGGTTGGAAACGAATAATAATAATCTAAAAACATTTTTTGCCTCTCCAGTAAAAAAAAAAGCTCACAGCCGACGCTACAGAGTGGAATGTGGAACCGGCCGCACCATTCGTTGTTTACATACTTAACGATGGCCGGTTCCTCACTCTCTGCCTGCACACAATAAATTATGGTTCAAGGAACGGAGAGCATGTACAAACGTAATGAGACACAAGCACGAGACAATAAATGCTCTTGCATGACGGTAGAAGGGTTGTAAATTATTCAGACCAAATGGGCAAGGGCATTAAATAGTGTTAACTTTAACTAGTTTAATAATCAAACAATCCCAGCTCTTTACTACACTTTTATTTATTTTTTTTTTTTCTTCCCTCTTCTTCTTGAACATTTGGAGTTTGGAGCCAAAAAAGAGCCAGATAGCCAAATGAAATTCTCCGGGCCAGACACGATCTGATATCTCTAGGATTATTTCCGGTAAAACTAAAACAAGGGGGTGAGAATAGCGAGACATGGGTTATTCTCACCCTGGGTGAGAATAACCATTTCCTTCTTAAATGATACAAATTGAGTCGATGGGGGCTAAACATTTAAAATCAATCAGTCAACACAGGATCCTACTCATTCTCTCTCTTTATACTTTATTGAACACAAAACAAAAGTGAAATGTCTTCTTAACTCAACAAAGATTAACGTTTATCGAAATCGAACGTAACACATGAGATAGAATCACTTTCCACTGCTTCTACAACGAGCCTAACTTTTGTCCTATATCAACATAAAGAAATCAATTCTTGATACGGGTCACAATTGGTCAAATGTCTGGTTTGCAGAGACAACCAGTCCATGATTTGGCGTTGAGTTCCTGTTTGCTGTGACAATCAGTCAGTATTCTGGTTTGAGTTTGAGGAAACAATCAGTTTGAGATTTCATTTGTGGGGATGATCAGTTAGTTATCCGACGGACGTTCTTTGGTCCAAGGCCAAGGTAAAGTTTGAGCGATTGGATCATGTAGGCGAGAGTGGCGTTCTCCTCGTTGTAGGTTAGGCAGCGGGCGATGTTGAGCCATTCTCGCAGGATGGCAATGAAGAAGTTGATGATGATGTACTGAGTGACAAACAAAGCCGACAGGAAGAATAAGTGACCCATGGCGTAGTTGGCCGCAACCAATTTGTGGAAGTCAGGCTCACCCATGATGAAGAAGAAAAGACGCAGCAGAGCCCGGTCAAATGAGTAATAACCAATGAGTTTTGAGCCAAAGGACAGCATGCCGAAGATGCCAAAGGCCACCAGGTAGGCTGCTGTCATGGCTGAGTAGCCTATGCAGTCCGCACGTGAGAGGAAGATCGTGTGGGTGAAGGTTGCTAAAAACGGGTTGAATCTGGAAGTGGATAAAAGGAAAGCACAAAAGGCACAGTGAGTGGTTTTTATATACAGAGGACTAGTAGAAGCAGATTGTAGGAAATGATTATTATCCACACGATTACACACTGTAAAAGGTGACTTGCTTTCAACTTTTGGGACAATATATCTTCCCCTAAGACTAAGATGGAGCAACTTGATAAAATATTTCCCCCCAGACAGGAATTAATTTACCTCACAAGCAAGGCGAAGACAAAAACCCTACTCATCAAACCAGATGTCAAGTCAAGAGACACAAACACCAAGACGGTTTCCAGCATTGGGCAGTTTCCCATAACCTTAGTGGGTCAAACATGTGCCCAGATCTTCTCAAGTGGTCTTTTCCTTTGACCTTACTCAAAAATGAACATGGGTTAGCATACATTGCCACTTGGACTCACTTGACTATCTTTCTTGGAGATAACCAGATACCTTCCTCCTTTCTCTCAAACACCAATCTAATGTAATAATTTTGAGCAAAACTTCCGTTCCCCCCACTCCCAGGTGATAATCTTGAATATATACCCCCCCCCCCCCCAAGTAACTCATGATAATCTTGAGTTACTCCCACCCCCATATGACTCACAAGATCTTCATCATCATCATCCAGAGCCAGATCTGCAACAGACACTACCTCATTTGATTTCTTTTCCTTCCACGATATTCTGAGCAGTCTCTTAAGAAACCACATTTCTGCTGCTTCTATTTTATTTTCACTGTCTTTAGTGATTATTCAGCATTTACAGCCATATAAAAGGGTTGACCATACATTGCATTTCAGAACTTTAATTTTGGTAGTCATTGAGATGTTTCTATTTTTCAGGATTGGGCTCATTTTATGGAAACTAACTTTAGCCATTGCAATTCTCTGTTTTATTTCTGTGGAACATTTGGCATCAGATATATATACCCTAGATATTTAACGTGTTGGACTTGTTTGATCTTTTCGCCTTTGCATATGAGGTTACAAATAGGATTTGCTGCTTTTTTGGACATTACCATGCTATAATCCTTTACGTTCACTTTCTGTTACAGCAGTATCTAAATGCGATTGAAAGTCCTTTTCTGAGTCTGCTATTAAAACTGTGTCATCGGCATATCTGATGCTATTAATATTTCCACCATTCACTTTGATACCTAGACATTCTTCTATGTTACTAAGGATTGTTTCACTGTATATATTAAAGACATCCTGTATATTCACTGTATTCTCCATAAATTCATACAGCAGCGTTTTGGTCCCTGTACAAATTCCTGATAATTCTTAGATCTTTCCCAGCTTTTCCAGTATTTTAAATAGCTCATCATGTCTAACTTTATCGAACGCCTTAGAATAATCTATTGAAGCATAAATACAGATCTTTCTGTGCTTCAATACATCTTTCCATTAACATTGTTAAGGTGAACATAGCATTTCTGGTGCCCTTGTCAGGAACAAAGCAGGGTTGTGTTTTCTCTGGTCCTAGACCTTTTCTCAATCTTCTCATTAGTACTCGCAGCATTATTCTGGTAAAATGACAAGACAATCTTGAATAACCCCCCCAATTACTCACGTGATAATCTTGAGCATCTTGTAGATGACCAGTGCAGCCAGCAGGCCCAGCGACACCTGCAGCTCCTCATCTCGGAAGAAGGCCAAGCTGAAGTCTATAAAGCGGCTGTGACCATACTTCCGGAACAGAGAGAACACTTCCAGGCGTGCAGAGTAGCGCAGAAAGAAGAACAGCCCGCTGGTGTAGCTTACCAGTAGCACTAAGATCTGGGGAGATAACAAAGCGACATAACACTACGGGCATAACGCAGGGACATAACACACAGGACATTCTACAATGATATAAAATTGGAGACTTCACAGTCTTACCAAACTTGTATTCTGAGATTTTTTCTGAGCCACCCTTCTCGACATACATGACCAGAGCAGAGGCAGAGAAGTATAACCAACCAATGACATTTTAAAGTAGTTGATGAATACCAAACGCATGTACTCATACTACTCAGAGAGGAGTAACGCAAGTAGTTACAAAAAAACTCAAGGTAGAGGAAATAAAGTAAAAGTAATTGAAAAGTAGAGGGGGTAAGTAACTCAAGAGAAAGAAACTTGAAAAGCCCAACTCTGTTCATGATCTTTGAAACCTGTTAAAATGTGCCCAGTGATCCAAATATTTGCAGGTATTGGCAAATTTTCCATCTTAAAAAAAAAGAATAGTATTATTTGAAAGTTCACTTTCTGCATTTTCTTATTCAGAAACATTTAGTTTAAGTAAGAGTTTAACAGCACTTTCAGCACAAATAGATCATATAAGTGCAAAAGACTAGAGGTAATACTACTAGAGGAGATAACCGCACTACAACACCCGCCAACCACCCACTCAGAAGTGTTTATCTGACAATTTCAATAAAAATATTCCAACAATATGTCAGAAACAATAACTGCATTCCTTCAAAAGTGCTATATTCTCAGCTTTATATTTTGCAGTTTTTAAACCTAAAATATGCTCCACTCACTGTCAAAAATTGAGATATTAAAAAATGCATGAAGGAAAGTGAAAGACCTGTGAGAAAGCAGGGTCATTTTAAAATGTGAACAAATTAAAATGTGTTCACTTTTCCCAGACCACCTCACAGATACACACTGATGGCTTTTCTACAGTGACATAATACTGAGGACACATCAGTGTCTGTAAATAGAAGACATCCAGAAGTGACATTACACTGGAGAAATACCACAATCCCATTACACTGGGGACGAATCACACTCACATCACACACAAATGAATCATGATACACCTCACCTCGGTCCAGTTCCAAATGTCACTGAAATATTGCCGGATCCCAAGTCTTAGCATGGACTTGACCTCCACAAACGTGTAGAACACAACACACAAGACTGTGATAGCCTGGCCAAGACACAATACAGGTGGGTTTGGGGGGGGTTACAAAAAAAACCCAACATTGTTCAATGTTACACATGGCACCTCCCTCTCCCCTCATGGAAAACAGATGTACGCACACCTACACTTCCCCCATCCATCTCTAGATCATGATTTGCTATTGCGATATTCAGGCTCACCTGTATGTACATTTTGACTCGCCTCTATATTTACCAATACCTAACTCATCTCTTCTGTATCTAGCAATACCCTGATTCACCTCCTTTACATACTTAATATACCCCGATTCACCTTCTCTACAGATCTAATACTCCCCAACTCACCTTTGTATCTACCAATATCCTAACTCACCTCCTCTACATATCTAACACACCCAAATGTATCCTGCTCACCTTAACATATCAACATACACCCCGACACACCGATACATATCTACTTGCTTATCGCTACATATCTACCTACACTCCTTGACTCACTACTAATCTATACATCCCTGGTTCACCTTGGTCCACACCCCAGGACACCTGTTTCTTGACACACTCCAACTTTCATACCCAACTCACCTCAGTGTATGTCCACTATCTGGAATGGGGAAGTCTATTTTATCAAGTATCTTAACTGTTCCGCTAGGATGTTGTGTCCTACTCTGTCAGAGACAGCAGCAACATCCCCCCCCCCCCCCCAATGATATAAATTGTGTCCAAGGGGGAGTAAACAATAACAACTGATTAACTTGCCTTATTTCAATTATGCCCAATCAGACCTTTACTTCCTCACTCACTTCTGCAGTCCCAGACTTACCTCTGCATACTGCAGCCAGACTTTCTTCTCCTCCGTGTAGTGAAAGAGCTGTGAGGTGAAGAAAGACTTCATGGGGAAGATCCCACCGTAGTTTTCAAACTCAAATGAGAGTCGCACGTTGGTGAACAAGTGGACGTTGGGGTTGTACATGGTCAACTCCACTAATATGCATCTGGTGGGGGGTGGGGGGGGGGGGGAGAACACAAACACAAGCCGTTAGCCCACAGACATTACACCTAGAGACAGACCTATACATTTGAGCTGCATCATGCAGAAATCAGGTGCTCATCACATTAATGAAATTGATTGGCTCAATACCTTTTACTATATTCTATGTCCATGTTAAAACATATTTATATGTGGCGTGTACTTCAAAACATTGATAAAAGGCACAAAAATGTCAATTTGCAGTTTCAAAAGACACTCAAGATTTGTTATGTCATCAAATTTTGGCAGCTGTTTCTCGCTATTTAACCTCTGATACCAGGCAACCCCCACCTCCTTCAAATGCAAAAATCTCAGCTTCTATTCAAGATAAATAGGTACGGTTTTTTTGTCATCAAAAGCAAGAAACGGCTTTAAGATGATACCAATATTGAGTGCGTGATTCCACTGTGTCCAGACACATTTGTTTTTTTTTAGAGACACACAAACCGATGAACACAGGCAGTTAGCTCTAGATACAGTCAGACAGACAGGTAGAGAATGACATACACAGATTGATAGAGCCTGCCATCAGAAATGTTATCAAAGATAAACACACACATATGCTCCGACACATACAAACAAGTATAGATTCACCCATCCACACACACTCACCCCCCCCCCCCCCCCACACACACACATTCATCACCAGGACTATGATACACTCTCCCTCTCTATCTCCGTCACACACAAAGATAAACAACCAGGAATACCAGTAGCTGACAGACAAGTTGAACTCAATCATCAAGTCAAAGATACATTGAGAGACAGGCCTTGTTATCAGGTCCCAGGCACAATAAGCCATCAAGTCAGGCATATATAGACAGGCTGACCTGGTCATCTGGTCAATCCAGTCGGACTTGCTGAGTTCCAGCAAGATGGTCTCGGCGATCTGAGCATTGTCTCGCGGGAGCACGGTCACATAGCCACCACCAGGGTACCATCCATGGTGACCTGGGGGGAGGGGGGGGAGACACTACATTTATCTACATGATCATATTATACCACAACAGATTCAGCACACACATAAACAAACACACACACATTCATGAGGACATATGCCTCTTTAGACCCATCCCTTAACACAAATCTACATGACTATATTATGTCAACTCAGACTTCAGTCAATAACACACATCTAGTACAAGACTACAAGCCACATCAAGCTTACAATACACCCCTTTGTGACCACATTGCATGTCACTCTCAACGCTATAACATACACACACACACATACACACACACACACACACACAAACACACTTTTCTTTTACACAACAGTACCTACCTTTGAATGGTAGTGTTCTGAGTTCCTCAGCTGAGCGATACACATACGGGGAGTCCTGCATTTCATCTGCTGGCAGGCTAGAGGGCATGGACCAGGTGTGGTTGAAGCTCCGCTTCTCTTCCTGACCCTCATTCAAGGAATATGTGCAGAACTGATGGCCAAACACATTCCTCAGACCACCGTAGACATTGAAGCTGGAGTCACAACTACCTGGGAGACAGAGGAGTGATAGATGGTAGCAAGAAGTCACAAGGTAAGAGAGTGATAGAGGGAAAATAGGAACAGAGAGAGAGATGGAAAAGGGGAGAGAGAGAGAGAGAGAAAGGAAAGAGAGGCAAGAGAGACAGAGAAAAAGGAGAGTGAGATTGTCAGAGAGAGAGAGAGGGAGGGAGAGAGAGGAAAAAGATTGAAAGACATGAGACAAAATCTACATTTTCTTCCAAGGCCAAGCTAGGGATATGGTTGTTCACATAGGCCATCATTGTGATACTGACTTCTTGTGACTTAATTTTTCAAATCTGCAGGACTTGCTCTGGTCATGTGATTCACTGTTCCTGTGTGGCCATGCGACTCACTGTGACTGTTTGACTCAGTCAACATTTGACTCACTATAAACATGTGACTCACTGTCAACAAATGACTCACTGTGACTATGTGACTCACTATCCATGTAACTCATTTGAGTGACAGACTCACTATGACCAAACGACTCACAGAGATTGTATGACTGACTCACATGACCGAACCACTCACTGTCATTGTATGACTGACTCACTATGACCAAACCACTCACTGTGATTGTATGACTGTATGACTGACTCACTACGACCAAACCACTCACTGTGATTGTGTGACTGACTCACTATGACCGAACCACTCACTGTGATTGTATGACTGTATGACTGACTCACTATGTCCGAACCACTCATTGTGATTGTATGACTGACTCACTATGACCGAACCACTCACACTGACTGTGTGACTGACTCACTATGATGAAAAGACTCACTGTGATTGTGTTACTGACTCACTACGACCGAACCACTCACTGTGATTGTATGACTGACTCACTATGACCGAACCACTCACTGTGATTGTGTGACTGACTCACTACGACCGAACCACTCACTGTGATCAGGCTCCACACGGACCTGCCTGACCCTGATGGGTCCCACCAGGTAAGAGTTGTAGCTCTGTGCCAGCTCAGGCTGGTCGGGGAGCAGTTGGGGTACCAGTGTGTCCACCAGATAGTCCCAGATGTCTGACACGTAGTGGATCTGTGGGGTTGAAGGAAGAGGAGACAGAGGTGACACTACAGAAGGACAGAAAGATCCAGGGGTAGACAAACAAATGGACAAAAAGACTGAGGCAGAGAGAGAAAGAGATATGGAGAGGAAGAGAGAGAGAGAGAGGTGGTGAGATAGACAGACAGAAAATGCAAAATGCAGCAGGGACAGATGGTAAGCTCAAAAGAGGGCGGGGGTGCATGAGAGAGAGAGAGAGAGAGAGAGAGAGAGAGAGTGAGAGAGAGAGAGGAGAGAGAGAGGAAGAAAGAGAGAAAGAGGAAGACAGAGAGAGAGAGGAAAAGAGAGAGAGAGGAAGACAGAGAGAGAAAGAGAAAAAGAGAGAGAGGGAGAAAGAGAGAGAGACTGAGAGAGACAGAGAGAGAAAGAAAAATGTGATGTAAAGATAGAAAGAGATACACAAGACGAAGAGAGACAGGGACAAAAAGAGCTTGATGGAAGAACAATACTTGAAATAGAGCAACTGAAAGACAGGCAGACAGCTGCTCCTATCAATGATCCCCTGACACCTTCAATTATTATAAAGGTTTTCTGCCCCTGTCAGTGCATTGTAGATATCATTTTTAGAAGGCGGACTGTTTGACCCCAACAGGAACTAATGAAAAAGGGAAGAGATAGAGGAAAAACAAAAATTCCCCACACTAGAATTGAACTCACTTTCTCTTCTACATACTATCATATATGACAGAGAGCTTGACCGTTGCACCACAGACACCAAACCCTTGACATCAGCTCCGCCCCTTCTCCCCCCTCCCCCAACCATCTGAAGTGTAGCAGGGTAGATATCTTACCTTTTCCAGCCACTGGCTGTGCTCCTCCTGTGGGTGACAACAAACATGCAATAAGCCAGACATTTCAGCAGTCCTTCCCACACCCATTACTCCAGGAAAGGCATGAGACAGTAATTGTACGCATACATACACTAAAAAGTAACTACCCCCCCCCCCATCCCGAAGCCTTTCAGAGGGACTAGTGAAATGACCAAACATCATACACATTGTGATAAAATACTTGATGTAACATGAACAAACACAATACAATATTGATTGTAAATTCTAAATACACCATACAGGCTGTGAAACTGTCAAATGGAGAAAAACAAATACGACTAAAACAAATGCAAACTTACCCATGTATACAACCATACAGAAACATACATACACACACACACACACATGTACAATGTATACAAAGACAAGCAGCCACACACGCAGAGACTAGAGCCCATTCCCTCTTACCTCATCCACATAGGACTGTGCCCCTACCAGCAGCTCGCGGGTGTACTTGGTCTGCATGTACCTATAGTAGACGTCCATGTGTCCATAGGTCATCACCACAACCGCCACCATGAACACCGTGTACATGAACAGGTCCCGTAGCATCTGGGGACATTCACCAGTGACAAGGACATGGCACGTACATGGACATCATAAATCTTTTTTTAGTTTTAGTAAGAGTTTTACGGCACTTGCAACACAATAAGGTCATATAAGTGCAGAAGATTAGAGGTGTTACAAGAGAGTAACAAACACAAAAAAGAAGAAGGGGAGATAGCGACGATAAATGTTTGATAGGAAAGAAGAAGCATGAACATTTAACATCAAAAGAAATATCATACTTCTGTGAACAATCTATATCAATATGGACATAATATCATATAAAAACGAATATCATACAACTATGAACATCCTATGAACATCATTATATCCCGTGTGTGCCACCTTCAAGATTGAACCACAACAGCTACGTCTACAGATGCTCTGGACACAGAAGAATTTCTGACAAGACGTCCACAAACATCTCAGGGAGGCAGAACTCTTTGTTCAAAGACCAGTTTGACGTAACATGCTGAACACACATCACGTGGCAGAATGTCTCCAGTGGTGGCAGCACACAGTGTGGTGGCCCTGTGCACTTTGGAGAACTGGGTTTTTTTTTATCATGGACGAGTCACATTTTCTAACTTTTCTCCTTACACAAGCTGATGGACGTGCACGGATCTATCAATGTTGGGGAGAGCATTTTGCTCCCAACTGCATTCAACAAGTCGGGCGTTTAAGAGGCGGGAGTGTCAAGGTGTGGGGAGGAATCCGTCATGACGGCAGGACTGATCTTGTGCATGTGGCAGAGATTTTGACGGGTGACAGGTGCAGGGAAGATATCCTGCATCCTCAGGTTGTTCCATACCTGAACACTAATGGTGGCATTTTTCAGAAGGACAACACTCGTCTGAATGTTGCACGAGTAGGTGAGGACTTCCTGCGTGCCAATAAGAATCAGACTCTACCATGGCCTATAATAACCAAAGAATGACAAGAAAGTGGGTGGTAATGGGTTTCACTGACAGTGGAGTCAGTAGCGGTGGTGCAAGACACAGTTAAAGGAGAGACTCTTGTCTTAACCTGGAAAACTCCCAGATTGTTCCAGGAAGGTCACGTAATTGACAATGAGAAGTGCCCCAAATCAATCAGATTTGTCTCTTAATTGAACACCTATGGGATGAGAAGGATCGACATGAGCGGCAGAGGAATCCGCCATCTCAGACACTTCCAGAGCTCCTTGTAGCACTCCAGCATGAGTGGCAGACCACTCTGCAACATGTTATTGCAAATTTGATTGCATTCATGAGTTCCCGATGCCGACTAGTGATCAACGTAAATGGTGCTCATACCAGGTACTGACTTTTTGTGTACCCCTTTCTGTTTACAAGCTTGTGTAGGACATTCGGTTTGTTCACCAGGGCTAACGTTTTGAACGTAGGTATAGTTATCTTCTGCCAGAACATTGCCTTATTTTGTTCTTTTTATTATGTGCACTTTATTAAAAAGTTCAATTTTAAAAGTGAGTGTGAGGTTTCTTTTTTTGAAGAGTATGTTCATGTATGAACACTACTGTATGTTTACACAAACATCACACCTAACATGAATGTCGTAATGCATCTGTGGGAACAAAAATAACCTAACACACTACACACACACACACGTACATATATAAAATCATACACTCCCCTCCCCCCCTCCTCCTCTCACACAAACACACACTTACCGCCTTAGCCTCAGTCTCCACCTTCAGTCTGGCCAGTATGGCCTTAGCCTGAGCACCAGTCAGTGGGGAGCGGAACCTCAAGTCTCCAACCCAGGCTGTACTCATGGTGCTGTATCGCTTCAACATCTGCCTCTTTCTAAGCAATCTCTCAGTTGTATCTGGGAGAGAAAAGGAAAGACGGGGGAATATGAGAGAGATAGAGAGAGAGAGAGAGAGAGAGATAGAGAGAGAGAGATAGAGAGAGAGAGAGAGAGATAGAGAGAGAGAGAGAGAGAGGGAGGGAGGGAGGGAGAGAGAGAGGGAGTGAGCGAGGGAGGGAGCAAGAGAGAAAGACTAACAGAAATTAACAAGTTCTCTTTTATTGGAGTCAGCAACAAAAACAAAAAAATCTTTAGGTTTGGTATTGGAGTATTGCAGTGAGAATAGGAAACATGTAGCTGGTACATTCCCTTCTCTTGGTAAGAGAAAAAAAAAGCCATCGTGAACTCTTTTATCACAGCAGAAAGAAACATGGATAATGTCATTTATTAAGATTTTAATGAAAAAAGACCAGAAGTCTTACAACAAAAAATTGTATTAACAAAATCTGCTATTTCTATTTGCCAACAGATTCACCTGCATCCAACATTCTACATTTGAGCTGGTTTTTAAATACTCTGATCTGAGAATCTGCCCCACATACATTTGAAAGTGGACACAATCTAGTAACACACTGACCTCAGAGTCAAGTACAGAAGTTGATGTAGTTATATTTTTGTACATATTTATAACCCCCATCGACACAGTATAGATTAACAAAAAATGAGCTGCTTTGACCAATCTTGTATGTCAGAGCAAATGTAATTTAGGGGCATTGTCATTTCTCTCATTCTTCTCATTGTCAATTATGTGACCTTCCTGGAAACAATCTGGGATTTTCCAGGTTAAGACAAGAGTCTCTCCTTTAACTGTGTCTTGCACCGCCGCTACAGACTCCACTGTCAGTGAAACCCATTACCACCCACTTTCTTGTCATTCTTTGGTTATTATAGACAAGCAGGATAAACATTCGTTTGTCTTAGGTGAAACATTACCATTGCTTTCGTGTCATCCTTCAGTCATAATAGACAAACAAGGGTAAATGTTTGTCAGTCTTAGTGAAACATCCTAGCAGGGTCAAGTCCTTGAGCACATGCCAGTGTGGTGTCCTCCACTCCATGTACAATAATAATATATTACATTTATATGTCACTTTTCCACAAATGGAGTGCTTAGTGCACTTTACACAGAAATAAAAAGAACAGTGCCAATAGTGATCCCTTCAATGCCTCCCCGCCCCTTTCTCTCTCCCTTTCTGTCTATCACACTGAGTTGTCCAAGAGTCGGGTACTTTTCCTGTCAAACTCTACCTACGAGGTATACGTCTTATTGAGCTGTCCCAGAGAGGTCAAGCCCTCTTGTGTGTCTCCACGTAGCATGATAAAGCAATATTGTATCCTTTTAAGGACTAGGGAAAATGCATATGTTCTGCGCAATTAACAGATCCGCGTTTTTATGATCATTTAATTGCACAGCCATCTTAAGATGGCACAGCCATTTTAAGATTGCGCTGCCCATTTTAATGATCGCATAATTGCGGGGCAATCTGAAGATTGCATTAATATTTTATACATGTGTATTTTAAAAATAATTTATATTTTTAAAAATACACTTCCATCTTTATTCTTTTATTCACATCAAGGAACATTCACATACATACATTTTCATAAGCGTAAAAATATGAAAATTAAAATTAAAATTAACATATAAAACTGAAGAGCTCACAAGAATGATACAATGCCAGGTATCAAACTCAAAGTTGACATAGCACTTTTAATTTATTTTATATTTTAAAAATAATTTTTGTTAAAAATTCACTTCCATCTTTACTTATTCTTTTACTCACATCAAGGAACATTCACATACCTTTTACAAAAGTGTAAAAATATGAAAATGGAAATTAAAATTAAAATTCTTATCATTTCAAAAATATAAAATAAATTGAATGCACTTTGTGAACTTTGAGTTGGATACCTGGCATTGTATAATTCTTGTGAGCTCTTCAGTTTTATATATGTTAATTTTAATATTTTTATACTAATGAAATATTCACGCAATATTCAGATTGCTGCGCAATTATACCATCTTTAAAACGCGCATCGCCATCTTAAGATGGCCACGCAATTATACCATCGTAAAAACGCGCAGATCTGTAAATTAGCGGGGAACATATACATCCATAGGAAAACATGCACATTCGTTCAATTT